TCAAACCTCTGCCACATTCTCCTTGAGAATGTCATTTCGACAGGGAATGAGGCCAGGAATGAGTCTTCATTAGTATAATAACCACTGTTACTAAAATGTCCTCCAACTCACCGGGCACCTTCAAGTATGTGAAGGTTTCTCCAATCTGGTCCTCAGAAAAAATAACACAGCAGGAACATGGGGCAGGCAAGGTAGCACAGTGGTCTTTACTGTGGGCTCTGGAGTAAGAAAACTGGGTTCAGGTCATGGCTCGTACTTTGCTGCCCTGTGAGTTGGTATAAGTTACTCATGCTCATAGCATCTGTTGATCTGTATATAAAATCTAGCAGGTACTTGGCAGATACTCAGGGTCAAGAGACAGTGATAGCTATTACAACGATGGCCCAAAGACAGTGATGATGGCCAGGTCTATGCCAATCCTAAAGGCAGACCACACCCTGGCCATCTGGGCAGAGCAGAGCAGACTTTCCAGAGTGGGCACCAGGACAAGGGAGCCCAGAGAGCAGTGAAGAAGAGGAATAGTTCCACCAACCCTGGGAGCTGCGCTTCCTCACCTCCCACAGTCCCTTTGAGCTTTGGGAATTCTCCCCTACACCCCTCAAGTGATATCTAAAAGGGTCATGAGCTCCTGTGTCCCTAAAATGAAATGCTGTCACCCACCCCCAAAGAGACTGATCTAAGGTCCAAACCATGCCATGAAAGGGCAGGGCTGAGGGAGGACCAGTGAGTGACACAGGTAGGGTCCCACTGCTAAGGTGCTATAAGGCTATGCACATAAGAAAACACTGTGCAAGGCACAGCCAGTCCCAGGCTTTCCTTCTCTCAGGGGAAATCAGAGGCAGACAATACAGTAATCTCCCATTAATCAGTGGAAGAAAATAACAAACGTCTATTGGGCTGAAGCACTTGGCCAGCCTCTCACAGGGTTGGCCATGTTCACTGGTTTTGAGTCAGGGAGAACCACTCTCTCCCGAGCCCAGAGACCAGGGTTGCCAGGATAAGAAGCAGCCCCTGAGGAGTGCAGGAAGGGCCCAGCTGCGCAGCTAACCCATCAATCCACCAAAAGCTGTACAGTGCTTCTGCCACCAGGAAGGACCAGCTCCCACAACACCAAGCCATGAAGCACACAGAGGGCTGGACTCCAAGCTCCAGCCACAGGGTCTGAGCGGGGTCCAGCCCAGACTCCAGAGCCCTGCCCCATACAACCACTTCAGCACAAGTCAGCTGGCCCTCAACTACTTAGCGTACAACTCCTGCCTGCCCACGTGCTCAGAGGCTGCCCTATTTGGCACAGCCTGCCAAGAGTCCTAACCTCACAACTCCCTGGGGCCTCCCTCCGCCTGCAGCAGCCATTCTCCTCACCTTACCTCAGCTACAAACCACTCAGTCTTCAGGACTCACCTCTGGCCTCAGTGTCATCCAGAAGTCTTTCCCAGGTATATCCCTGCACACACTGACTGTATGATGCCCCTTCTGTGCCCCCTCACAGTAGTGCCCCAGTGAACCCAGAAGGGACTGTTGGCCATTCCGTCTTAAACCTCACACAAGGCCCAGCCTCCGACACCCTCACAGATTCACAAGAGACACCTTGACTGCAGGATCCCTGCCAGTAACCCAAAGCCACACCAGCAGACAACCCTGCTTGCCTGCAGTAGCCACCATAATGGTCCAAGTCCTAACGGCATCTACCCATGCCCAGGAAGAAGGACTGTGCCAGTGTGATCCAGGTTTGAAGCCAAGCACAGAGTCATCTTCACTCTGCCCTGGACTCAGCCAGCCTCAGACTAACAGAGAATCCTATAGCTGGGACAAGGCCAGGCAATGACTTTGGTATGCTGCTGAGGACAGGCTTCAGTCTAACATCTAGGGAACTCTAAACCAAGACCTGCGTAAATGCCCCACCCCAACTCAATTCCTCAGGTAACGGCACAAAACATCTTCAGAAAACTATTGAAGGCACCTAATTTGTACCTGTTAGCAGGTCCCCTCTTCTGTGCCAGAGGACTTAGGCCAAGACAGCTCTTCCTATGGAAGGTTCTGGATGGCTCCAGTGCAGCATTAACAGGAAGCATGGTTCAGAGTCAGCCTTATCGTAACTCTCCACTTCAGTAAACATCCACTGGGAGCCCATGGGTTCCAGGCTCTGGGACACAACTGGATGTGGTGGTGGCAGACATAGAAACTAGAAGAACTGCAGAATCTACTGTGAGTGTTCTCTGCCTACCTCAATGTACCAAAATGGGATAGGATTAGGATGCCCCAAGCACAGAGCACAAATCCAAAATCCAGAAGTAACAGCAAACAGCTGAAAGTAGTACCCCTTGAGAAGACAGCACAGGCCATGCATCCTTGCATTTAGTCCTCCAGTGCCTCAGTCTCCCATTCACAGATCCAACAAGCATGCAGAAGCGAGGAGTCCCAACCTCCTTTTCAGGGCACAAAGGCAGACAGATGACCCCAAAGGGGTCTACCTTCAGACTGCTCACCAGCCCAGTATTATTGATGCTGCACAAAATCGAATTTTTAAGAACATAATGAATTGTAACTGGACTGAGCCACACAGGCCAAAATCAACTCAAAACCATCAAAATAAATGCATAGCCATAGGTACACCCATATGCATTAAAACAGAGAGCCTATGCCTCAGCCAACTGTGCATTTGTCCCAAACTACTCAGAGCAATAAAATGCCCAACAACCTCAGAAGCAACATATATCAGGGGTCCAAAGGACAATGGTTAAGCAACTCAAGCCAGTTTGTCTTCCTGTGCCCCAGTCTCTTCACTTGCAAACTAGAGATCACACAGACTCTTCTCCCAGAGTTACTGAGCACAAGAACTTAGCATAGATCCAGGCTCCCAGGACTCTTAAGTGCATCTAAATAGTATGTTAGCATTATGCCATTCTCTCTGCCAACCAGACCTTGCCCTGCCACCTGGCCCAGTTCAAATTCTACATCCTGAGAATGCCCCCCTTTAGGGTCCCCATCAAGTATCGAAGTCTGGTTGTCAATGACTGGATACACCTCTGTGGTCATGGTTCGTGCATCGTCTCTCCCCACCTGGAAAGTAAGTTCCCTACTCTCGGCTTGGAGCTTCCTAAGTCTTGAACTTCCACACCAATGCTTCTTCTCTTTGCCTTCTTGTGCAGCATACTCACTCGTTAAAACCTGTTGGGTGCCCACCTGCTTTAAATGTTGCACTGGGTGTTCATGAGGTCAACCAGGGGAGGGATGTCTATACAAAAGGGATTCACAGGTGTGTATGGGAGACAAACATGGGAGCACAAAGGGCATTCCAAGCATGCATGCACGTGTGCACACACAAGTTGAAAAAACATGAGATGTGCAGGAAACAAGAACTTCTATAGTGTTGGGGCATATGGAGCAAGAACCAGAAGATATAACTAGTGCTGTAAACACAAGGCAGATCCTAATCTTTAACCTACAGGCAATAAAGAGCTATAGAAATGATTTAGGGATGCCTGCCTGTGAGCCTCCAGACCCTGGCTTGGAAATAAGCTGTGGTCCCCATGCCTGCAGAGAACCAGACAAAGGAGCACCCAGGGAAGGCTAGCTGAGCAATCAGGGCAGCCATAGGTTGTCAGAGTGCAGAAACAGGCCTGGAAAGGGGAAAGATGGAAGTGATCCAGGTAAGGCTCAACCTCCCACAGGAAACCTAGGATTTACCAGTCTACAGTCAAGTGCAATCTCATCTTGGCTCCTAACCCCAAATCCACTTGTATGCAGGCACTCACTGCACATTTCTACCAAGGACTGATAGGAAAGTACAGTTTTAATCACCCAAGACACTCCACTCCTAACAGGTTTCATCTGTACCTTTTAATCTACTACTTCGTCTGCAATGGGGATATGCTAAAGAACAATCTCAATCACTGCCTCACTGACCAAGAATGCAAAAAACAAGCAGAGAAGTGGAGATGACACATATGAAGTGCTGAGGAGGAGAAGAGACAGAATGAGGCAGGAAATACGAGGGAGAGAGATCAAGAAAGTGAACCAGTTCCAGATGAGCCCAGACCTGCAATGGAGCTGCCTTCAGACCAGGACCTAATGGCAAGGCAAGCTAATGCACAGGCAAAAAAGGAAAGAGTGCCAAGGGTAGCTGGAATGGTAGCTGACAGGATGAGGGGAAAAGGAACAGCACCCTGACCCACACAACTTCCTGTGATGAATGCAAGAATCCTTAGCTGCACTGTCCAACCAGCAGCCACAGGTCAATGTGGCGTCATTTTAATGGCTACATATAGCTAGTAGCTGCCACCCTGGACATCAGAAAGAGCTTCCAGGAGCTGAGAAAACGTGAAACCTGTGTCTACCAGCAACAGGTGGCTCCTGGGGGACCTCCACAAGGATGGCATAGATCAGAGCCACCTGGAAGCACCAGGCGATGACCCAGCCACCAGTACCTTCCAGGCAACTTATATAACTGAAAGGACTGAGGAGATGCACATGGGCTAGAGGGTGAAGTCGGCTCCTGGAGCTGTAAGGATCACCTCTTGTAGTTAACAAGTATGCGTGGAGGTGGCTCCCAGGTTGGGCATAGATCTCGAGTGCTAGCAGTGGGGTTCACCAGCTACTGCCCACTAACCGGCTCCAGGCTAGAGAGAGCTCCCAGGCCCACCCACCCCAAAGGCTGAGCCTGGGGATCCGGGTCCTTCTCCCTAATGTCCCCCTACCCCGATCCTAGCTGCCTTGGCGCCTCACCCCAGCACCTCCACGACTCTTCACATTGGCCCCTCTTGCCCGCTCCTCGCGACCCTTTCTCC